AATGGGGAAAAAATAAGAACCAAGATGCATTATGTAAAGGTACAATTTCCAATGAGAAATGTAATTGTGTTGTATACCTACAATGTACCAATTAAAGAATTTAATAAAAAAAAAAAACCTGAACAAAATAGGTATAGAAGGATCTCACCTCAATCTGATAAAAGGCATTCATGATAAATCTATTGCCAACATCATATTAAAAGAGGGAAAACTGAAAGCCTTCCCTCTAAACTCAGGAACAAGACAAGGATGTTCACTCTTACAACTCCTGTTCAACACAGTCTTCATAACATTAGCCAGAGCAATCAGGAAAGACAAAGAAATAAAAGGAATACATATAGAAAAGGACAAAGTTAAAGTATCATTATTTACAGATGATATGATCTTCTACTTACAAGACCCAAAAAGCTCCTAGAATTAATAACCAAACTCAGCAATGTAGCAGGATATAAAGTCAACACACAAAAATCAATAGCATTCCTATACACTAATAATAAACTCACTGAGAAAGAAATTAGGAAAATAATGCCATTCACAATGGTATCAAAAAATTAAATACCTAGAAATTAATTAATAAGGGTGTTAAAGATTTCTACAACAAAAATTACATCATTCTGAAAAAGAAGATCAAAGAGGACATCAGAAAATGCAGATATCCCATGCCCTTGAATAGACAGAACCAATATTGTCAAAATGGCTAAAACTCTAATCTGATATATGTATTTAACGCAATCCCAACAAAATACCAGCAGCATTCTTCACAGATAAAACAACCCTAAAATTCACATGGATTCAGAAGAGACCCAGAAGAGCAAATTTGTCCCTAGTTGATCAACTATCATATGATGGTCATTTGTTTTGCTTTTTAAATTCATGTCCAGAAATGACATCTTCACATGAAGGTACATGTTTTGCCATATCACTGAATTATTAATTAACAAGTAAGCTTTTTTTTTCCAAAGACTATAATGTTCAAAATTTAACAAAGAACTTTGTTTAAAGTCACACTAAAGAAATATTGCCTACTTCCAACAGGAAACAAAGATTCCACAAGAAAACCCCAACTTGGTGTCCAGTCCCTGAGCTTCCACCTCCAAATGAGTCCCTGGACATTTAGCATGGTTCAAGCTGACATATAGCTTCTTCCCTTGTCAACTACTCCAGGTCAATAATGGGAGGACATACAACAGACTGCGACCAATGCCCATTCCCTCCTTCTCTTTCCACAAACAGCGGGAGAGGCATGGCCAGGTGCAGCCAAGCCACAGGAAGACCTGAAGTACTGCAGCTCTTGGCAGCCCTGCATGAGTCCTGATCACCCTTTTTTCTAAGGAAAATCCAGCCTCTCCCAGCATCTTTGGGCCTGTGGCCAATCATACAACTAGTCACATTCCAATATGCATTAGGTCACTCATTCACTTTGCATCCTTTGAAAGCACAAACAGATAGTGAAATCCCAGGACAGAGACCTAGAAAGAGCAGCTCATCAGTTCACCAGTGGCCTTCCCTGACACAGTCATACAAAGTCATACCAGTCATCAGAGAATTTGAGTATACTATCTCATTTTATCCTTACAGTAGATATTACTGTATCTGTGCACTAGTACAAGTGAATCTCAGGTTTCATCTCAGTCCGCTGCATGCTGCTACAGTAGAAGGCTTGAGAGCAGAGAATGGAAAGTTATTTCTCAGTTTTGGGGGCTGGTGAGTCCTGGGTCCAGACACTGGCACCTGGCCACTGCCACTCTGCCATGTCCTTATTTGGCTAGGGTCACTCTGCCATGTCCTCACCTGGTTGGGGCTGCCCTGCCATGTCTTCATATAGTGTGACAGTTAACTGACTATGTCAACTTGAGAAAGAAACGCCCAACTGAATTGGATCAGCATAATTCTGGGTGTTACTGAGAACATTTGCTGAAGACAGAAGACCCACTCTGAGTAGGCTTGTCGCTTGAATGGCATAAAAGAGATAAGAAGAAGGAAGGCTCTATTCTGTTACTTTGGAGGAGATTCAGTCTTCATCTTCACCTTGGACAATGTCTCCTGGCTTCCAACACAGACCCCTCAGCCTTCCATTTAAGACCTTTCAACTCCTGACAGGGACTCACACGGGACACTACACTGAGCCCCAGGCCTTCAACTGTTTCCTTCGGTCTCCAGGGCACAGACAGCCCTTTTGCACTCTTCCACACCTGACTGTGAGTGGCCACTGTAAGCTAATCTTGTAAATTCTTATAGATTTGTATATCTTGCATTAAATCTGTTTCTCTTGTGAGCACTGACTGACACACACAGAGAAAGTGGAGGGGCCACCAGTTGCAGGGCCTGAATGTTCCTTGCAGCTCATAGCATCGCCTCACAGAGGTCCTACCTCTGAATGCCGTCACAAAAGCTATCACAAATTTCAACATGAGGTTTTAGAGAGGACAAACCCAAATGCCCCTAAATGAGAGAGAAGCAGGATATCTGAGATACAGAGAGGAGACAAAGCCAGGTGCAGATGGAGGCAGCGGGTGGTGTGGCACAGCCTCCAGCCAGCAATCTGCAGCACAAAGAGGCTTCTCCCTCAGGACGCCAAGAGGAGCTGACCTGCTGACCCCAAGTCCAAACTCCTGGACCCCAGAACTGTGAGAAAAAACCTCTATGGGCTGAAGCCTCCGACTTTGTGGGAATGTCGTACTGCAGCCCTGAAAAGCTAAACAAGAACTTGTATGTGTCCAGGACAAATGAAACTCAAAGAAAATATACCATGTAGCACAAAGCCTTTCACAGAGTATGTGCTCAGTGTTTGTGAAGTGATTAATAGACGAATGAATTAGTGAATGATTAGTGTTTATTGTGCATCATTTAAAACTATAAAAGCCTTTCACCCTTCACACTTTACTGTTATTAAACTGCTACTACTGGGTAAGAGTTTCCAAATAGTGCTAGAAGTCAAGCTTAGATTTTTTTCCTTTTATGCCACAACATCTTAAGAGCCTACATGACAACATCATCTCAAATCCCTATACTGGGAGACTGAAGCACACGTACATGTCTGTCCTCAGCACCACAAGCCACGAACCGGCCACATGGACTGAGGGCCATTCCACATGGGTAGAGTGGTTCAGGTGTCCTTGGAATCAGCGCTCACACCTGCCGGGACAGAGAGAAATACCCAAATAGGACTCAGTTCTTCATCTTAATGCAAATGACAGGAGAGAAGCCAACTTGCTTTCCTCACAAGGGGAACAAAGTAATAGAGGAAAAGCTTTTTCCTCCATGGTGCTGGAAAGAAAACATAGGACGTTGTACATGTTAGGTAAGCTTACTACCACTAAGCCACATGCTGAAAAATATTTTATATGTGAGAATTATTAAATGGTAAGCAATTAAAAGGATTTTAAGAGTAATTCAAATGCTTTTCAAATTTGAATTGCCAAGGATGACAAAATTAACAATAAATGAACTTTATGTATGAGAAATAGTAATCATTTCTATAGATCATTAAAATGTAAAAACACACCTTCTGAAATCATACATTTTTTTAGATTAATGATTCAAAAATGTTGGGGTTATAACATTCTAATGGGAGGGGCTTGAATTTTATAACCAACTATTTATAAAACACTATATAACATGTGCTTATTATAAAAACTGTCAGAGAATTTATACTATTGTTACTGGGAGACTCTTCACCCCTTTGGAAGTAACCATGGTCTTCCTAAGAAGACTATCAACAAGCTAGGCCAGCACTGGGCCTGACATGGCCAGACAGGGCCAGGAGTGAGGACAGGTCCTGTTCACACAGCACACAGCAGGCTTTTGTGTTAGTTCAGAGATAAACAGCAGAGCAAACACACAGCTAACTGCACCCTTGTGAATACCTCACCAGGATGTGCAAGCATTAAAAGCATCGATGTTTTTGCACTGTAGATAGATAGATAGATAGATAGATAGATAGATAGATAGATAGATAGTGATTTTCCCCATAGGATAATTATCTGAAGAATTTTTTTTGCTTAGAGAAGATTTTACATTTTGTATTTGTTTACAAAATACATTAAGTAATTTTAGCATATCTTCAGCAATGTTCTCCCAAGGGGAGAAAAGTGACTCAGCAAGGTAAACAAAGCAGGCTTGGCCTAAGGTGCCCTGGTCTCCGCTCCCAGGATCGGTCAAACAACAGGACATGGGCCACCGTTAAGCCAGGAAACCACATCCAGGACACTGGTGGTCAAGACACCTGGCCTATCCTGTTCCTCTAAGGCCTTAGGAGCCACACATGAGGAAGCAGCACCTGCAGCCTGTCCACTCACACACTGGTCTCGTCTCACATCACGTGTAATCTACACATCACAACCTTGATCAGATTTGGGAAAGACCCTGGGCTGGGTTTCTCATTCCAGCCCCGCAGTCACAGTGCAGTGACACAGGCCAGCCTCACCTCAGAGTCCTCAGGTCCCACAGTTCAACTCCATCACCAATGGCCGTGGTCAGGAAGAGATTATATGCCTGGGACTGCCGGGTCGTAAATGATGATCCCTGTAATCATAAAGAGAAAGTCAAGATGTATTTTCAAAGGCTGAATGTAAAACCATTATTCCAGTGATAACTAACAATAACTGTATCTAAACACACTTTCTCTTATTTGTAACAATTTCAGAGTTGGACTCGAAACTTTCTACATATAGTTTTGCACTGCCTAACAACTGTCTGGTCACTGACAGAGGGCACATAGGACAGTAGACCTGTAAAGACATCTCACCTAGTGATGTCTCACCTGACTTGGTCTGGGCAAGCACATTCTGTAGCGTTCACACAGCATGAAGTCATCGGCAACCCATTTCTCAGTATGCATCACTGCTGCAACTCAAGACTGTAATTGATTAAAGATTTATTAATGTATAATATATAGCCAATGAGAGTCACAGAATTTTTTTAAAAAGGTAAAAGATGAAAGACCAAGATATATATTAACATGCTAAAACTCATTTTTAAAGTATATGTGTGTGTATAAAACTATTCCCAACAAATTATCTGAAAGACACCCTTAATAAGGCACTGAAAGCCCATTATTCATCTGCTGGTAATCAAACTCTAAGATACAGGAGCAGGTTCCTGTGATGATGTCTCACCTCACGGAGACTACACTGCCTCAGGACATCACAGTCACTGGGTATGGCTCTGTCCCACTTCTGAGCTCTGACTTCCCCTGGGCTGCTGGCACCTACAATGTTATGCTCAGTGGCGCTGGACTGAAATATGCCTATTGAACCATCTGGCTCAATTATTATTAATACATTATGATTCATAATCATTTCCACAGTCCTTCTATGCCATGATGATCTAAAATATCATGACAGATTTAATGAAAGATATCTCTGAGCATTTAGGTGTAAAATAAACTTAGAGGTGATCATTTATAAACAGGAAGTAAAGGCTTGTGTAAGTTCAATAATTACAAGCTAGCACAGACTGAGGCTGGACTCTGCCAGAAGCACCCAGCACTGCATTTGCCCCTCATCCATTTAACAAACTTATAAACTACTTCACACGCATTTGTAAACACACACAGTGGCTTGTTCATTGTCACACGGCTCCTAGGCTCTGTGTACTGAGTGCTCTACTTACTGGGTCCAGGTAAGGATAGCCTGACAACTCATAATATAACATAAAGATAAAATAGCAGACACTTAGCAAACGTTGAGAGATTGCCTACTAATGGCTGCACTGTGAGAGGCCCCCAGTGTGAAACAGATACAGATGATGTTACTAAATGACACACTGGCCACACAACCTTCCAGCAGCTGTGGTCTATTCAGGCTGAAAAGAAAAAGCTGAGCAGAACAGAAACCATAGAAAATGGTCAAACCATGCAAGGAAAGAAAAAATTTGTAAAAAGCTATTCAATCCAAAAGACGGCAGGAAGAAAAAACAAAACAGCAAATAAAATTCCCAAATAAAAAATACAGATTATAAAATGTGTAGATTTTATCAGAAGAAAAGCACAAAATAAGATCAAATATATATGAGTTATAACAGTAACATAAACTAAACTTGATAAGCAAAAGAAGTAAAAGACATATTAAGGCAGATTTCAAAAAAATCACTTAAATACATTTTTTAAAAGGCTGAATGTAAAGGATAAAAAAAAATGCTATGTATGAGAAAGTAAGATTGTTCAAGCACTAAAAAAAAATATGTACAAGGCACAGAAAGCCTAATTAGTAATAGTTTCATTTTTTTAAATGATAAGAAGAAGCCAGGCATGGTGGCACATACTTGTAATTCCAAAACCTTGGGAGGCTAAGGGAGAAGGATCACAAGTTCAAGCCTACCCTGGGCAACTTCTCAAGATCCTGTCCCAAAATTTAAAAGGGGCTGGAGACATAGCTCAGTATGAAGGCCCTGGGCTCAATCTTCAGTACCACACACATACACACACAAAAGATAAAAGGAATAACCTCACAAAGTAAGATCTATAAAACTTAACCATAATAACATGGTCTACAAATACATAAACTAAAACAGAATTACAAGGAGAAATTTGACAAAATTACAACCATTGTGGGAGATTTCAAATGTTTCCTTTGCTAATTAAAAAAAAATCAAGCATATAAAAATGAGGAGGACTTGAACTTAAAAGAATTAACAAGGTTGACCCAAGGGGCATCTATGTAGTCATATAGCTAGCCAGTGTCTAGCAAAAACACATTCTTTTCATACACATATCTAATATTTCTTTAAAACATAAGCCAGGGAGCCAGATTTCTCAATGTATGCAAAATCTCAAAAGATATCAAGAAAATTGCTATTGCATAGAATCCATGCCCTGAACCACACCATAAAATTAGAAATCAGTAATAAAACAAATGTCTAAAAATTAACTTGTATACATGGAAATCTAAAACCACATCTAAATAAAACCTGGACTGAAAAATATCACAATGTATATTAGAAAACATTTAGTGTTGAATAATAATAATATAAATGGCATGTGCCAAAATGGACACAATTAAAGAATATTTGGAAGGAAATTTATTGCATTAAATGCATCTATCAGAAATGCATCAAAACGGATAAAACACAAACACATGACATGGAGTAAAAATGAAGTAGCACAGAGAAATGTAGTTTGATGGCACTGTATAAAAGAGGAGCACATAGACCAATGCTCTACATTGTTTTTAAGTATACACTTGAGAAAGATTCACACCAAATCCACTAGTGGTGGTCAAAGAGGAATAAACAAGAGGGAAAGAGAGAGCAGAGTCCTATCTGCATCAATAATAATTTCATTTATTTTTTAAAAACCACAGTAAGATCTAAAACTAATAAAGTAAAAAATCAACGTAAGTGACTATGCTGAAATCTAAACTCTCCTGTATAACATTTTTTGTTTAAATCTTATGTGATTCTTAGTTCTTTAATTCAAATTATCTGTCCAGTATTATATATTTACATCATAAAAAGCAAATATCTTATTGAGAGATGAAATATAAGAGTAGCAGCCTGTCAAGTTTTAAAAATAAAGATGAAAAACCTGCTATGATTTTAAATATATCAAGTCATAAGACATGTGTTCTCAAACTAAAAATGAGCCATTTAACAATATTACAAATAACCATGGCCATCCTCTTTGATGTAAAAGGCTCTCTTGTTAATGCTGTGATGAAGGGAATTAAAAAAGTTCTGTTTGTCCAACATAAGTAAGACAAGAGACAGAATAATTTTCAGAGCAGGTTATTCTAGCATTAGGGGTTTGGGCACTCAAAAGATGCACTGTAGGTGCATTTTGTAAACTCAAAGGAAATTGGACATGGCCTATTTTACATTTTACTGGAAATAGAACATCTGGATCAGTTACAGACTGTGTTACTCCTACACTGGACTTGCTGGGTAGGTGGAGTATGTAAGCAGCAATGCCCACATGGCTGTGGGTAGTCTGAACACTGTGTTGTGCACTGAATAAATGCATAAAAATGAAAGTGACGTCTTCAGAAAACAAGCCTTTAGACATGGTGTAAACCTCTGTAACCTCACCCTTCTTCCCTTTCATTCCATCATATACCCATCAGATGTTTAGTGTCAGGAAATAAAACCAGTTATTTTCCCATAAAACAATCCAGAAATATTTCTCCTAATATAACACCTCTCATCCAAGAGCATACCAAAATACTTCCCAAAATATGACAACTATCACTGGCAGACTACTTAGGCCTCAAAGAGTTGGCCTGCTCACAGCCATTATAACACAGGCTGCCATAGTGCAGCAGAGCCTAAGTAGTTTCCTGAAATGAAGACATTACAACTGGAGAAAGAGATTTTAAGAGAAAGGAATATCCCTTGGACTGTCAAATTAGGTGGGTCACTGGTCTCTGGGAAGGAAACCAGGCAAGATCTGCATAGGCATGGCTCCACACAGAAAATGCCCAACATACCTCTCAGGAAATACCTCATGCAGGGACACTGCTTCTAAGACACCATTTCAACTGTCTAGATATGCATCAAGAAGGCAATGTCTCCTCTGTCCTCAACTAGTATCTGAAGACAGATTAAGTCATGGGTCTCTGTATGTGGACCTGGATGGTGATAGCATAAACACTCCCCTGCCTTGGGTCTGCACACACTGCTAGGTGCCCCTTCAAGACCTAGGCAGAGAAGACACCTGGGCAGACATTTGAGCAGAGGGAGCTAATTCTGAATTGGGGTTCATGACTAAAGCAGGGGAGAGCACCAGCCAGGAATACCCAGGGAAATGGAGGGAAGTTATGAGAGCCTTAAGCCAGGGCATGTCCACTCCTTCTGGTGCTCTGAGCTTGGAGGGCCAGGCCTGGGACCCAGCCTCAGAGTCCAGCTCCCAGCAGCAGTGCACAGCTCTGCTCTGCCTGCAAGATAAAGCTTCTTTTCTACAAAAAAGCCCTGATCCCATCCCCAAACAGAGGTGCAAAGTTCCATTATCACATCCTCCTCTGGGCTATAATAACATCATCTTAGTAATTACACCATTGGCCCTCTGCACCTACAGTCTGAACAGCCAAGTTACAATCTAATAGCTGTTCATGCACCCCTCACAGCTGCTGTAGGGCACACATTTTACACACAGCCCCTGCATATCACTCACACTCAAACTTTAGGATGAATCCCTTGCACCTAAAGCAAATCCCAGAGCCCTGGCCAAGGTCCACTAGGCCAGAGAACATTCCACTGTCTGTTTGTCCATCAGCTTCAACATACTGGCCCCACTTCCTGCATTCTACTCCTGTAAAGGCACACCTGGGCCCCTTCCTACTCAGGTATCTGCTGCTCATAAGTCAACTGATCATCACAGGGCACCTGATCAGAGCAAGCACTTTTCCTCTGACAGAAGCCTTCCTCAAGCACAAAGACTCTGCTCTCCACTCTTATGTGTCCATGGAATAGTGGCAAGCACAGAATAGATATTGTTAAATTAAATGGGTAGGTGTATACACACATAAGCATATCCATACATGCATGCATCATACATGTGTGCATACACAGGTTTGTGCATAGCCATACAC